AAAGCTATTTCTTAGTTAATGCTATCTCCCTGCATGGCAAATGCACGCAGAAAGCAATAGAAATGCCTTTCCTTTAAAACCAGAATCTCCTTTCACTGAAGTATTTTACCTAATAGCAGGGGCAGTTGATCTTCATAGGACCTGGAATTTTCTAGTGTTGCTGTTTGTAACTGAAATTTCTGGGGTTCGTTTCTTGTTTGCATCTCTCAGATTCTGATTTAAGTTTTAAAAATAGGGTAAACTGAGCGTAAGGTAAATACATTCCAATTTAGTATATGAATACTTAGAATCGAGAAGAATTTTAGAAACTTTGCTTTTATTTTTTAAAAAAACTAACATTTGTCAGTTGATCCACTTTACTGAAGCTGCTTTGGTCATGACGCACAGGATAGGTATAAGATTATATAACACTGACAAACTCCCAAAAGAATACATAATGCAAGTGAAACTATTAATATAAAGGGAGGGTCACATTGTCTTCATTTGGTTTGAATTTAGAGAAAATACTGGTGTTGGCACATTTATGAAATATACTATATAGTTCTTTAGTAACACTAGAAAGCATTTTGAGGTTCCGGGGCTTTGGGGTTTTTTGTTTACGTGGTTTGGTATGTGTGTTTGGGGAGTGGTTCCTACTTGAAAGACAAGACGTGGATTGCTGGGAATGCTTTTAGTTGTAGTGAAAGACTTGCTTAGCATAAAAGTGCTGTGTGCAGAGTTGATCATCACTGCGTGTCGCAGTATTTTGGACTTTATGTGCAAGTACAAAAATACAGATGTTCAGATTCAGCTTAATTCTCTCTTGGATTGAGAAAGAATCCAAGAACTTTTTTTTCAGTGGACTTGGGTATTTCTATCACTCTCATGGCTTGGGGTTTCCACCGAATACAAAATATTTTTGTAATACCAAGTTACCTTGTTTTTTCAAAACAAAACGACTAGAAAACCCAAACACATCATACAGAGATACCCCTCCAACCTTTTTTGAGTTGCATTGCCTTCCAAAAAAGCAGTTGCTGTGTCCATGTAGTTAAAATTGTGTCTTCAATGCCCAGAGATACTGTCCTTGCTGCCCAGAGTACTGTTCAATTCAGAGCACTCAGAGAAGTGGTACAAGAATGTACCGGGTAAAGTAATTCATTGGTAAGCACAAAAGGATGCTTGTGCTGTAACAGCTCAACAGCAATAATTATCAGGCCCTTAATTACTTCTGTTTAGGTTTTCTGAGGATGGATAGAACACTAGGCAAAAGCTTAAGTGCTCAAAATTAGGGTACAAATGGTCATTTGTGTTGCATCATTTAATTTAGTAGCTTGACTTTTTAAGAGTTGCAGCAGTTTGCAATGAAATCTAAGTTCTGGTTTATGCTTTATTTACATGTGTAGATACAGATTTAGATGTGTTTTCCTTTTAAAAAGACTCTGTCTATAGTGGCTAAATTTTTTTAATTAATTTCATTTTCTACAATGGCTGCCATTCAACGTTTTACACCCTCAGAGTATTTTATTAAGGATTTGCACCTAATATAGAAAAGTTCAATGGCTAGCTCCAACTTTGTCCTGCTTCACTTGCTGGTTATGAACTCAAAACAATAAGCAAACTAGTGCCTTCTATCATATGATGATAGTTCTGTCTCTGATCCATCTAGCACTACTGACCTCTTTAGATACCCTGCCTTTCACAATTTAAAAGACGAGATCCTTCACCTTTATCACAGAATACGTTATTTACAGCTGTCAGGCACTTTGGAGGGCATACCGATAGCACCCAAGTGCGGATGCTTACCTTAGGCTTCCGAGTTAGTTGGCATCCCTTCAGTCCCATTCAGTGAAGAGAAACTCAGAGAAGGTGATGCAGAGTAGGAAAATGGATGATCGCAACAATCTTATCTATCTGTTAAAAGGTCTTAGTAGTGGTTATGATATGTCCCAAAGTGCAGTTCCAAATCTGTGATGGCATGAGAGATCTGTGAAATTCAGGTCTTATGAAACAGCACTGAGGGCACAGCAGTATTAATTAAAATTCAGGTAGTGGAGTGATGCAAGATGATGAGGTATGTACCAGCTTTTGAATGCAGATCTTGGCCACTGTGAGAAATTATCAAAAAATAACGAGCCTAGCAGCTTCCTCAGAGCTTAGTGGTGAACACGAGGATCTTCCAGCAGTGTGAGCAGCAGACCTAATCACTTTGAGCGGACATTTGGGTGCTGTTGACAAAGCTAGACAGCTTGTCTGGAGAATTTTAACTTCTCAGTAGTGATTACTGTACTAACGATTGAAAGTGTGAAAATGTAGTGATATATAAGTCTCTGCATCCCTCTAGTATAGCCCAAGCTCTGGATGTCTGTAAGTCCTGATTTTATTTCTTTTGGGACACAGTGACATTGGAATTGGCCAGTCTCAGGATGACAGCATTGTGGGACTGAGACAAACGAAGCACATTCCTCCTGCTTTACCTGTCAGCGGAACCCTGTCATCCAGTAATCCTGATCTACTGCAGTCTCATCACCGCATCTTAGACTTCAATACTACTCCAGGTAAGGCTCCTTTTTTTTTTTTTTGTTGTTCTTCTTTACCTTATAATTTCCTTTCATTGATCTCTTTTTTTTTTTCTTGCTCTCTCTTTTTTTTTCTCGCTCTTTTTTTTTTCTTCTTTTTTCTGGACTTGTCTGAAGATGCATGTGATGCATATTAACTGTATGCTGTCGCCCACAGATTAGCCAAATATTAATACATTAGCATTTATTACATTTGCTCCAATACACTTTACCCAAATGTATTAGATGTCTGTTTTTCACCTGTGTTGTATACAGAGTGCCTCTTACTGATTGAATGCTCTTGGCCAGTAAAAACTGATTTTGCTTGGTATTTTATAATTTGTCCTGATAGGTCAGTCTTGTAAAGACTGCAGTATTTTCAAATAGCACAGTAGATCATTAGCTTACAGTAAAGCGAAAGGGCATTGGACTGGGACACAGGACACGCGTTTCAGTCTTTTTCTGAACAGACTTGTATAGTCTTGTACTACATCTGTAAAGGACAGAGTTTCAAAGTTGCCTGTTAGTCACCCTGCCCTATAACTGTATGCTGAATTCTCTGTATATAAAGTGATTTCAAGTCCCATTCTGAAATAGTTTTAGAAATGAACACATTTAGCAGAGAGGAACAAAGCATAGTGGCAAGTGAGGGAGAATATAAGAAACTTGAGAGCCTTATCTTATAAGAAGGGTTTAGCCAGAGCTCCTGGCGGGGCTGGGATTTGGGCTCTTATCTGGCTGTAGGAAAGTTCTTAGCGGGAAACCTTCTCTGAGTTAAGTATCCAAATCTTTGTTATTAAAACGTAACTGCTGGAGGAGGATGTGGTGGCGGTAGCTGTGCAGACACTTGGTTATTTTAGTCTAATCTTTAGAGTATTTCTTGAAAGTAGAACCAAAAATTCAGTGCTCTCCTAAGCCTGAGGGATTTCAAACCTTACCTAAAGGGACAGTGCTTAAACATCAGCCTACATACTGGCCAAGTTGGTGCAATCAATGCACTTGAAACTGTGATGCTGAGCATCACTTCGTCTTAGGCTTTTTAGGGCTAGAGAAGACTACAAGAAGGTGATGTGTCATTTTTGTCCCGATGTCTAAGATTGCTCCTGAGAGAGTGGGAAGATACGGTATTTTTTTCTGTTTTACCTAATGACTAGTGTCTAACACTTTGAAGATAGTCTTTATCAATAAGAGTGTAACTTTTCATCAGTGCTTTATCTATAAATGGGTGAATATTCCATTCTCCAGCTTGCCATTTACCTAGACCAGACGGTTCTAGATAATTAATGTGCCCCTAATGACGAGCACAGCAACTGGCTAACTTCCAGAGTTGCGGGCATCGCTGTCTCACACAGCTCAAACAAACTCCATTAATTGAGAAGGAAAGCCATTACAGGTCTGAAGATCCTTCCATCACAGATGTAGTTCAGAGAAGTTTAATAAATTAATAATGTTCTACTGTTTGCCTTTTGCTTTGAGAAAATGAGATACATAATGATCTAATGCCATTGCTTCAGTGTTATAGCAGCTTTTCCATTATCTTCATAGAAAATGTATTAAGTAATTAGTGCTTTCTCATTTTTTTTTTAAAAAAAGCTCTTTTTTATTTTCTTAAAATTTGCCCAAATGTCCACATATTAGATATTTTCAAAGTAATTTGCAGGTGTAATTTTTTCCTGTGTGGGAAGGAGAGGAAAGGGTAACTGAAATAAAAAGCACATACCTTAAGGGCTTTAGGAATGGTTGCTTTGTAGATAGAAGAATTGAATTATACCTCTATATACTTTAAGACTTGGAAAAAATTAAAGCCTGCAATTTTAATTTCTTTTATTACCTTGGTCTAAATTAAAGATGGAGATGGAGGCAGCTTGCAAGAAATTGAATGCACTGGAGAAGAAAGAGAAGAGTGGTAGAACAGCCATCCTTTGAGGCTTTGGGGAATATCCCTCAGGATAGAAAATAAAACAACTTGTTGTTTTGGAAGGGTAGGCTTTGAGCAGAAAATGAGAACATACTTTTTTTTTTTTAGGCTTGAAATCTGCAAGGAGTCATTTTAGTTTCTCTTCTGATTTGCTTAGGCTTTTTCAAATGTACTTTTGAAGGTTTATTTTAAATGTCCAAATAGTCAATAGCACTTTGATTTCTCTTCCCTTGTGCTGTTTTTGCTATTCGATTCAAAGTCAAAATGATATAGTAATGATCAGCTGCCAGTCGCTGGTACCTTTTTTTTTCCCCCACGCAAGCTTTCTAAGGGACTAGATTCCTGTCATATAGCATTGCTTTCTTCAGCCTGCCACTCCAGTTTACTTGTGTGGAAAGGAGTGAAGGGGGTCAGTTGCAATTCTCTTCAAGAGCTGTTTTATTTAAAAATTCTTGTGCTGCGTTACTTGCTACCGTTGCTTTAGCTGTAATCATTTCAATTGCTGGCAGACTTCTCTGTATTCTGTGTAGTGCTTTTGCTACCAGCTCTGATAGGTGTGCAGCCTGAGCAATTGGATGGTAAAATGCAGTGCAGAGATGATACTTTTCTATTTGCCGTTCTCTGTATTTCTTCATATTGACTTCAGTGATCCAACAGAGCAGGTTATTTTCTCCTTGCACAAAACACTTGTTTCTTGGGAGTATTAAGCGAGTTCCCACCTTGGTATTGTTTACAGTAGCTTCCCATCTTCATAGCATTTCTTTGAGTGGCAAGGATTTCTGTAACAGCAAGAGGCAACAAGATCTAGAGCGTGTTCTGGTTTTTAATAACGGCTCTGAACGGCTGTGTCGTTGGCATCTGTCTTCCTCAAGATGTCATAAAATATAGAAACTATTTCAAGTACTGCTCCATATCCCTCTTCAACTAATTACTGAAGGAAGATGGGCCAATATAGAGTTGGTGAAAAAAGGCAAAACTGGCTTTCTAGTTATAAGGTATTTGTACATTTGCCTCAAGTACTTGGAAATGGCTGAAAACTGACCTACACTGAAGCCTGTTATGTGTAAATGATGATGTCATCACTCAATTCTAATGTGTTTCAGTACTAGTGCTTCTCAAGTTGCAAAAATACTACTGTGAGCTTAAAAGTTATGGGCTTAGTTGCATGAAATTTGTAAAATAATATATTTAAGCCTAAACAGCCTTTGTAGCATGTAAATCAACTCATATCAGAGAGATTTATCTTAATGCTTTCCAAAAGATTTTTTTGGAGACATGCAGCAGTAGTGGCAAGATGTTAATTTTTATTATTTTGTCACAAGATTTCTGTTGCTGACTAGATCTTTCTGTAGTAACTTGAATACATGTTATGCACACTCAGATTTTGTCAAAAAAGATTGCAATTGTACCAAAATGAATGTTTTCACCTGGCAGCTATTTTTTCAGTATCTTTGGTTTTAATAATAATCATTACTTTGGCTCTAGATTCAGCAGGCTTTCTATTATTATCTGGTTTTTTGTTCATGTGACCTTTATGATCTTAAAAAAATAATATTTTTAAAGTAGTATTCATTAAAGAAAGAATAGATGACCAAATGTCATGCCACGCAAAACTAGAAAAGGTTATTTGTAACAGAGGGAAGAAATTAAATTAAATACATTGAAAGTACTTTATCTTGTCAGTTAAAAGTACCTTATGTTAAAAAATCCAGTGATGGATAGCTGTACAACTTTAGCTCTTTGTTTTCTTTTTATAATGTAATGATAATAGTCAAGAAGCTTCAGTTGATTAATGGGTCTAGATTTCAATCCATTAATAAACTTATGGAAAAAATCAAATGCAACATTTGGAGTTAAGCTGATAATTGTCTAGGTTTCCTAAAAATAGCTATCTTGTAGGTATTCACTGTAAGTTTTCTGTCATCAGTCACTTGAAACAATAGTATACTTAGAACTTGAATATTTGTGTTTTTCTGTCTTTGGTGGGTTTAGTTCTTAATTACTAAAACATTGGCACAAAGAATAAAGAGCAAGTTTTCAGTCTATTACTTGATAGTTAAGTACCTGGATGCATTCATACTAGTGCAGTTTACTTGTGTATACATGCATGCTGGCCGTTATATGTACATCTTCCTAGTTACTTAGATGTACATGTCTTGACTTTGTGTGGCACTATGCTTGAATGTCAGGCATAGGTAAATGAGTCTATTTTCTTAAAAGCATCATTAGGAGGATTGGCACTCCTATCACCTAATTTGCTTAAATGTCTTCTATGTTAGTGTATGGGGTAGTGTTGCTGAGTGTCGCTGAATTTTCTCAGACTTAAATAGAATTTACCAGGACTCAACATCTGTGAAAATCAGACTACTCGTTGGTTTGCCTGTCCAGACTTTGGAAACTGAACATATTTTTGTGGCTTCTTTTCCTCGTTGTTAATAGACTCAGTCTTTTATTAATTAAAAAAAAAAAAAAAACCAAACAAAACTACAAACAAACAGCTGTTTTAGAAGAAGAAGAGAGGTGAAACAATGATATTGAAGTAAAAACTGATAGCATTAGTGATTAGACTCAATGATATTGTTGCTTGTTCTTATACCATTGATTTTTCTTCTGCTTTACTAAATTCCATACCTAAATTGCACGTATTTTTTTTTCTAGACTTACCAGATCAAGTCCTGAGGGTTTTCAAGGCAGATCAGCAAAGTCGCTACATCATGATCAGTAAGGACACAACAGCAAAGGAAGTGGTCATCCAGGCCATTAGGGAATTTGCTCTCACTGCAACCCCTGATGCATATTCACTATGTGAAGTCTCTGTCACACCTGAGGGTGTAATCAAGCAAAGGAGGCTTCCTGATCAGCTATCCAAGCTTGCTGACAGGATACAGTTGAGTGGCAGGTGAGATTGAAGTTTGTGAGCTAAAGCTGATGATGCCAGTTTATTAAGTCAAAATCCTGTTAATAGGAGCATTATTTAATTATTAACGCTGTGTTTCTTTAGAAGAAATTGCTCCTTATGTAACCTCTAATTAATATCTAAGCCTGTTGAAATTCCATTTATTCTGTGATTCCAACTGAATTATTACTGTAACTTTCACTACTGTTTGAGTATCTTGTATCAAGTGTCTTTGAATTTTGTTTTTACAGGTACTACCTGAAGAACAACATGGAAACAGAAACTCTTTGTTCAGATGAAGATGCTCAAGAGTTACTAAGGGAAAGTCAAATTTCCCTACTACAGCTCAGTACTGTTGAGGTGGCTACCCAACTCTCCATGAGAAACTTTGAGCTCTTCCGTAATATTGAACCCACAGAATACATAGATGACTTGTTTAAACTCAAATCAAAAACAGGTTGCACTAATCTAAAAAAATTTGAAGAGGTGATAAATCAAGAAACATTCTGGGTAGCTTCTGAGATTCTGAGAGAAACGAACCAGCTGAAAAGGATGAAGATCATTAAGCATTTCATTAAGATAGCACTACACTGCAGAGAATGCAAGAACTTCAACTCGATGTTTGCCATCATTAGGTATTGCCCCTTAATATTTTAATTCTGTGTAAGAAGCAAAGTCTCACTTTATGTCATAAAAATATGTATGAAACAGAGTAAATCAGTTAATACGGCTAGCATGAACACTTGACAATTCGATAAGGGTGTTTTCCAGAATTCTGAAGTTGACATTGAAATATTTGCTGAAATATTATCTGGAATGCTACTATTATGTACTTATTGCTAAAGACAATGAGGCAAGAGTCATCAGTGAACATGGCACTAGAGAAACTACTACACTTATTTAAAAACAAAGACCAAAAGAAACAGCAGTTATATGAAGAAAAATGATAACATTGTCATAAAAGAATGGGTTAGTTTCCCAAAGGGAGCTCATCATTTTATACATAGTTCCTAGTATCTTGAATTCATTGAGCCATGCTATGTTGCCTTTGGTTTTCTTTGTATCAGCAGTTTCTTGAATGGAACTCTGATAATAATCAGTAGCAGACTATAATGCCATATAATAAGCTGTAACTAAAGATCTTTTAATAAGAATAAAGAATGTACTGAAAATCTCAGACAGAAAACCTTTCTTAGTTTAGCAATGAAAAGGATGAGGGGAAACTCTAATGTGTGTGTTTATACACATTTTTAAAACATTCACATTTCCTTTGGAGCTTCCCAAGTTAGGCAGGAAGACCTAAAAAAATAAAATAAAATAAAAATCCCTAAATATTGCCTGTTATGAAAAAGCTTGAGTAAGTTGCATTAAAATGATAATTTTATCACTGTCTCTGGCAAAAGCCCATGTCACATTCAATCAACAGATTGACTGTGACATTTTTTCTGAAGATCGCATTTGAATGGTTTTCAAAACCAGTGGCAAACTCCAAAGTCAAGGATCCATGTTGATAATCAGTCAGCATCTCTGAGACATAAATATCTAGGGATTTAGCTCAGCTATTTAAACTGGTCTCTATGAGAAATAAAAACAGCCTGCCTGCTAGCAAAAACTTGATTGAAGGAAAGATTCCAGATACCAAAGTTTCCAATAGGTAGAAAGGAATTGCAAGAAAAGCTGGCCACTGTGTAAGATACTCATTTTGCCAATGTCAGTAAGGGATAAAACCCTTGAGTTTTGTACAAGCTACAGCTTCAGAATAGCCTCAAATATATAGAGTCTGTTGCAGTAATTTGATTTGGACACAACAAAGTCAGATGCATTATTGCAGGAAGAAGGTGGGTCACTGTGCGGTCACCACCTAAACATTATGCAGGTGGAAGATGGTTTTTCCTCCAGTCTGGAAATCTGGAAATAAGCGGTGATCCTGTGCTACTCCTAGATTATGATATTGTTGTCAAATCCAGACACTGTTCCAAAGTAGTAAGTACATACTCTCTATAAGGTTTAATTACTCATCCAAGTATAATTTTTATCTGCTTATGATTGCATCGTGCAGATGTCTTCAGGTTTTACAACTTTTATCTAGAAATGATCGTAATTGTTCTGTAATACACATGGACAAAAGGAAGTTTTCACTTCTGTTACTTTATTGACATTGTTGTGCTACGCTATTCTGGCTAGATGGTATTTCTCCCATACAAAATTTAACATGGCATTTTCAAGGATTTTTTTGTTTGTTTCTGTTGTTCTTGAACTTTTTTTGCACTGTTTTTGTTTGTTTCAAGTGGTCTGAATTTGGCACCGGTTGCAAGGCTCCGAACTACTTGGGAAAAGCTTCCAAGCAAGTATGAAAAACTGTTTCAAGATCTACAGGACTTGTTTGATCCATCTAGGAATATGGCAAAATATCGTAATGTCCTTAACAGCCAAAACCTGCAGCCCCCTATTATCCCCCTGTTTCCTGTTATCAAAAAAGACCTTACGTTCCTTCACGAAGGTAAAAGCAGAAGTACGTCATCTTTTACCAGCTAAGGAAAACTAACTTTGCTACCTAATAACTGATGTTATTAATTGTTGCTTGTAGGAAATGATTCAAAAGTGGAGGGCTTGGTCAATTTTGAGAAGCTGAGAATGATTGCGAAGGAGATACGCCATGTTGGTCGCATGGCATCTGTGAATATGGATCCCGCTTTAATGTTTAGGACAAGGTAAGTGTGTTGGATTAGGCAGAGCTTTTCCCAGCTGAGAGAAGGTTAGGTGTCAACAAGAGGCACTTTTCAAGTGCCCCTTGTTGTATCAGAATAGTACGAGTGTTTTGTTTTTTGTTAACAATTTACTAAAATTATGTGGTGTTCTAAAACTGGAGAAATCATTACATTTTGTGTTTATGAATACATATTAAATTGTTTTATATTATTTCTTAGCTGCCAGTTACTTCATGAAAATGAGATTCCATCAGTGAGAGAGAGGGGGAGATACTGTCTTGAACACATACGTGTTTGTTTTTTGAAACATTTATGTGTGCCAGCCTTATCATTTTGATTTAGAAGAAGTGGGAATATATCTGAAACAGTGTCAGCTAGCAGTGTTAGAAAACGTGGAGTGAATGCTCTTTGGCTTCATTTTAGGCCAGCTTATTGCATACTCTTTTTCTTAATTTGAGCTAGAAGGATTTGTAATATCTGTGACTGTATGCCTGAGTCAAGGCTCTTTTTAATGTTTATGGGCTTCCAGAACTGCTTGTCCTGAGGTCTGGTCTTTTTCTTTCTGAGCTTGTGATCTTTCTCTGTCTCTTCTAAAACCCATGCTTTACTCTTCCTGGCTCTCACTTGCAGGAAGAAGAAATGGAGGAGTTTGGGGTAAGTGGTTGGAGACAACACACACAGACATTCATTCTTCCCTTACCATTTGCATTGTTTCCTACTCGCTATCTTTAATTTTCTGATGCTTTGACATTTTTTCTTTTGTTAACCCCTTTTTACTGACAATACATTTTAATCCAGGACTGCTTTTGCTTTTGAGGATAAAACACAAAAGTCACAAATTATTTATAAGTCATTGTAGATAGGAGTGGGGTGTTCTTCTCCCTCACCTCCAATTTGAATTGCCAAAAGAAGTGACTTTCAGTAAAAGAGAAATTGTAAAATGGCAAGGTTGCGACACCTGAAAATTGCTGTTACCTTTCTTATGCCTAATAAGCATTTGTCACAATCAAATACAAAAATTAAAACTTACAGTATCTGCTAAACTAACTTATTTTCATATTCCAATTCAACCATCATTTTTACTCTTAACAATTCAGGAACAATGCGTAGCTTTCATATAGACATACATACATTGAAACGTGCATGAAATTTATTTCATCGTGAACTAGTTGATCATTTTATTTAACAAAAAGCTGTCTTCAACCTAGCAAGTTACAAGCAAGTTCTATTCTGTAAAACTGAGCTGTACGTTTTGTATACAGTCTGATTTTAAAAGTATTTGGAGACCTTTTAAAATGCCATCTGTATATGTATTTAAATTTGAACCTCAACTATAGTCTTCTGTCAGCATTGCCTTACTGCATGAGCTTTTCCTAATGCTCCAGTCTTCTCCGTAGCTGGCTTACGTGAGAGAGCTAGCTTGAATGCTTTTCTAGATGTGTGAAGTGATGTTGCCTAGTTGGAGCAGAATAGGTTAAAATATTTGTGTCATTAAAATAGTGCCTGTACCCAAGTAAAAAGATTTCCTGACCCTCATCTTTCTATCTGTTATAGCTGTTTGACTTACTGGAATGAGGCATGTAAGCTTTGACGATAGACTGACATTCATGCAATCTTTTGCACGTTTCATGTTTATCAAGTGATACTGTGTTGGTCTAACTCATACATTTCCCTTCTTTTCTGCCATCCTGCCCCCGCTTCGCTCCAGGTCTCTCAGCCAGGGCAGTACAAATGCAGCCGTGCTGGATGTCGCGCAAACGGGGGGTCATAAAAAGCGAGTCCGTCGCAGCTCCTTCCTTAATGCTAAAAAACTATATGAAGATGCTCAGATGGCACGGAAAGTAAAGCAGTATCTCTCAAACTTGGATCTGGAAATGGACGAAGAGAGCCTCCAGACCTTGTCTCTGCAGTGCGAGCCAGCCACCAACACACGTGAGCATTGTCGTTTGTTATGGATTTCAAAGAAACTGTTAAATATACCTGTTTCTTCTCTGAGGAAGTAATTGGGGTCAGTAACTAGGCAAGGAGGTGGAAAATGATGTGTCTAGGCGTTTCCAAGTACTGAACATCTGTGAATCTTAAGGAAATAATCTTGCAGATTAACAATACAGAGACATAGCATTTATGTAGGAGATAGGGCTTTCAGATGATGTCATGCTGAAGTGCATAAAGCTTCTTCAGATTTGTCTGTACAAAGGGTACAGAGGAGCCAAAAGTTTCTCTACAGTTCTGATGTAGTCAGACTGTTGGTGTGAATAGGGTTGGTCATCCCAGATACGTTGGCCTGGAGAGGGAAAAGGGGATTTCCTTATGTCCAGGCATTTCAGAGACACCTGGAGGGCTGTACCTGGCTGCAGCAGGGGGGAACCTTATGCTGGATATGGGTTTCATTTTGATTTGAGGGAATGCTGTATCTTATGCCCTTCCCTTCCTTCAGGGTAGCAAAAAATAGTGATTATATATCCATCCTAAACCAGTTGTAGTCCTTATGATAGCCCACTCTAACTTCTAGTCATGTTTTTGATAACTATAACAATAGTCATTTATGAGAGGGGGTTTTTTGAGAGAGAGAGAGAGTAAATGTTCTTTGATAATGTACATATTTTAAATGGACTTAAATCTCCCCCTCTTTTCCTCTTCATCTTTTCTCTCGAAAGGTATCCTACTGCATTAATTATACAAGTCTTTGAGCACCTTTTAATTATTAATTGGAGGGATTTGCACTGTTCAGGTTAAAACTCCCACAATATTTTTAGCTAGTAGTCATTCTGTGCTTTCTTCCATTTCTTGCAAAGTGCCAAAGAATACAGGAGACAAGCGATCTGGAAAATCCGAAACGTCACCGGTGGCTCCTCGGGCAGGCATCCAGCAGAAAGTGCAGCAGCAGCAGCAGCAACATAAAGTAAACCAAGCATTGCAGGTCCCTGCCGTATCTCTTTATCCCTCTCGCAAGAAAGTGCCAGTCAAAGACCTACCACCATTCGGTAAGTGGAGCAATGAAGTCTTCAGTTTAATACTCTGAAGTTTGCTTGCTTAAGGCAAGGAGGCGTTTTTAATCAAATAAGATTCAGACGTTTATTTCTGGTAGTATTATATGCAGGCTATGCCAGTTCATGCATGTGTATGCATAATTCTCTTCTCAAGAAACGGAAAGAAAGAAATCTAGGAAAGCATCGTGCCAATTTAATCAGTGTAAGTATTTACCTGTCACTAGTAGCTGGAAAGAATGCGCATTTCTGACTATCTGCCCTGGGATATTGGCTTAACTTTTCCAAAGGGATTAGTGACTTGGAGTTTTTGAGTGACCCATCTGAGATGCCTCAGAAGTTTTGGTGTTTTTTCAAAAGTTGAACATTTAATGTGAAATTCGGGCCTGCTGAAGCTGGTAGTTCTGTTAGAAATGTACGCCTGAAGTTTCAGGTTGACTTGTTGTCCCTTTGGCTTCTGGTCTCTAGTGCTTTTTTATTGTTGTTGTTCAGTAGTTGCTGCCTGTGTATGCCTCAGACATCAAACTATAGGAATTTCTTCTAATCTGATTTCCAGATCTGCTTCCCAGCATGTGTACATAACATACATGCGTGTCATGGTTTAACTGCAGCTGGCAACTAAACACCACGCAGCCACTCGCCCTCTCCATCCGCAGTGGGATGGGGAGGAGAATGGACAAAAACTTGTGGGTTGAGATAAAGACAGTTTAATAGGATAACAAAGGAAGATGGTGACGATGATGATGATAAACATAAAACAAGTGATGGACAAATGCAATTGCTCACCACCCATCGAAACACAACCCGATGCCCAGTCTGTTTCTGAGCAGTGATCCCAGCTCTCTTCCCTGGTTATATAGGGAGCATGACATGCTATGTTATGGAATATCCCTTTGGCCAGCTGTCCTGACTGTGCTCTCCCAGCTTCTTCTGCACCTGGCAGGGCTGGGAACCTGAAAAGTCCTTCAGTTAGTGTAGGGACTACAACTGCCTGGCAACAACTGAAAACATCAGTGTGTTATCAACAGTATTCTCACACTAAATCCAAACCACAGCACTATACCAGCTACTGGAAAGAAAATTAACTTTATCCCAGCTGAAACCAGGACAATGCATTATTAAAGAACTTCTTATATATCACTTAAAGTATGGTAGTATTCCTAATAAGTATATGTAGCATAACTGGCCCTCCCTATTGCATGATGGTAATTTCACAAGTGCTTAATTCTGATTTCACTTTTTATTAGTTTTATTTGTGCACTGCTTAGGCTGCTAATGAGACATTAGAAGCAGCAAAATGAGCAAGAAACAATTCAATATTCATCTAGTTCTTGTTGATTTTACCATTAAATTTTAATATTAAAAGGACTTTGAAGCGCCATAGACTGCGTCTTTGCTCATGGTGGAAAAGTTTCTGAAAACTGACTAGGTTGTGTTGATGAAGCAGCTGTAAATTATTGATAGAAGCATTGTGAACCAACAGATCAAAGATAAAGTCTGTAGAATGCTTGAAAATAACCCCTACCGCAAACATTGCCAAAACTGTCAGAGAACCTTCATCTTCACTTTTAAGGCTGTGCCAAGGTGGATTTTTGAGGGGAGGGGAAGAGAAAGACAGATAAATGTTGCCTGAGAAAAGCAATTCTTGATGCCCTAGATCTTTACATCATACATCATCTTCAGGATGTTTTTACTCTTTAGTTTCCCAAAATAAGCTGGTGCAGAGATCATTCTCAAAAATGAAAGGGAGAAAGGCAGCTGCAGGATGGCCTTGTTTTGTAAGCCTAATCTTATTAATCTTCTTTCCAGCTTTCTTTGACCTTCTAGACTACTCTGAATAGAAAAGAAACAGGAGAACAGTTTCAATTCTTACTATATAAACCTTCACTAACCAGTGAGATTCATGTATGTTTGTATTCAACATAATTTTAGTTCAAGTTTCTCAGTAACCATTACTGTGCATATCCTTGATTTATATATTGTATAGGCAGTATTCTGCAACACAAATCTGCATTGTGTTTTCTGTGACAAAGTATTTTATTTTAGGTGGCCAGAATGAAATACCAGCTTCACTAATATACAGAAATAAAATGCTGTATTTTAAACAGGAGTATGTTTAAACGTTTTGCTTCATTTAAGCTGGTGTCAGAAACTCACAAATATACAGGAAAAAAATTGAGTTTTTTCCTGTAGGGTGTGTGCTCCATAAATGCATTGTGAAATAGAAAGACGTGTTTATACTGGACTTTACATCTGCCTGCATTAATTCTTTCTTATTTAAAGGCATTAACTCCCCACAAGCTTTAAAGAAAATTCTTTCATTATCTGAAGAAGGAAGTTTGGATCGTCACAAGAAACAATCTGAAGACACGGTCTCGAGTGCATCTTCACAGCTGTCTTCTCCTCCCACTTCACCACAGAGCTCTCCAAGGAAAGGTATTAGACGTACAATATTTCTCATCCTGTTTCCTGAAGCTCATAGACTTTGGAAGCTTCTGAGTGAGAATTCGGACACTTGGGATAAACTACTGCTGCTCCTGTTTCTGTCACATGTGGTCAGCAAGAGGGCAGAAAGTGTAGTGCAGAGTGGGATACATGAAAGGTTACCTGGGAACCTGATTTCAGGGATACCTGCAAGCCCTCTGGTTAGCAAAAGCCAGGAAAGATAGCCTGATCTGATACAGGATTTCATGCAGTAGGTCACTCTCACTGCAGCCGCTTCTGACAAAAATATTCCCATCATCAGTGTTTCCTGCCAGTGGAAGGATGTGTGGATTGAAACTTAAAATCTGGGTACAGCATTGAGCACATTAGCCTATTAGAGGAATTATTTGCTGTGTCATGCATCTGGATGGGATGTGACCTATGTATGACAGGAAGGATTAAGATATTTGGGATTCAAATCACTAATACTCAACGTTTTACTAGCAGCCTAATTAATTATTCAAACAACATATATGGATATCTGAGGAATAGTATTACACATTGGATCTAATTACACTGAGTTAATTTTAAATTATTTTGTAGAGTTGTTTTTTAAAGTGAATTTAGGACTTAAAAAGATTTTTTTTTTTTTAACCCTGTTTGGTTTTTCATTGTACTTGTTCTGGTTATGAATTGATAAAACAGAAGTTATCTGCATTAAAACCAGGCTATCATACTTCGAAAGGGACTTTTTTTTTGTTTGTTTAAACTACAGGAAAATGCCTCCCTTCTCTAAGTTTTTCTCTTTTCAGAGTATCATGACAGTTCAGTTTAACAGTTACATAATATAACATTATTGTAAAATATATATATTGGAGTTGAGTCCCCATCACAGCAGTTCAGAATGCTAAAGAGATGAGTGCATGGGAAACTTCCCAGTAGCATTAACTTTCCCTAAACTGCACAGGGATGGTAAGGATTTGAAACTTATATGGGTATCACATTTTCTACTTTCTTATCTAGTGGATAGCTAAGCCCTTGTCTTAATGTGGTAGGAGGCAGTGCCTGTCAGCTCAGGCCTTATGGCTCCAGACTAATGGACCTAACCAATTCCTCCTTTCCTCTTGGGAGCGAGAGCAGTAACAAGAATAACAATTCACCGAGGAGCTCTGGGATAGGCAAGGTTTATGGAAACAAAAGGGGAAAAACCAGCTTCTGTTGAATAAGCAGAGATCTCAAAAGGGGAGAGATGAACATGGCAAGAAAGTACAAATGCCCATCCAAGATATCTGTTGAAGTGATCTTTACTAAAGTCAGGTGGAGGATGTTGTGTAGAGAAGACTTAGGTTATCATCTCAAGTCCTTGTAAGAGATTGGGATGATTTCTCCCAAATACTATGTTTGCAAAGAGTGAAATTACATAAACTTGGTCAGGCCTGTGCGTTTCTTTAAAATTGAATTGGATTCTGTACTTGACTCATAATGGGAAAAGTACTTTATTTTTGCAAAAAGCCAATTGTAAACATAATTATAAATTTTTAAAAATCCTTGTCTTGATGGTGTCATGAAGCTAATGCTGCTTTTACTTTCTTTCAAGCAAAAATGGTATGTTCTTTCAGGCAAATGTGACAGCATTAAATCCATGTTCCCGGCAAGTGAATTGGGATAGATCACTTGAAGTCAGCTTGACGTTTACATGTAGACCAAAAGCAAAAAAATTAAAACTGTGCATACTTGTAGATGAATGTTGTTTAATGATCTTTGACTTAGCTGGCAAGAACATTCAGCTCAACTTTGTTTAATACTAAAAAAGCTGAATTTACCTCTATGACATTTCATGGTTTGCAGATTTTTATCTTAGTCTGGCAGTGTCAATGCCACCTCCAAATTACAGTGTAATTCTGGTAATATGTACTATAGAATATCATCTTTTGGGAATGTAATTAGTTAGCCAAGTACCACAAAGCAAGCTTGAAAATCTTGAATATGTGTTTTAAATTTTATTGAAAAACACTTCAGGCCGTCTCTCAGCCAAGATACGTAATAAGCCATCAGCCCGGACATCTGTGCTTCATGTTGTATCTGCTGTTCATCTCTGAAGCGTAGCTTTGCAGAACAGAAAAACTGTGTGAGGGGGTGTCTCGGATTACTCTAGGCAGTAATCTTGTCCAGGGCATCTCTTTCTTTCCAGTCTTGGGTGACACTGTTTATGTTCAGGCATGTGGTTGGTTTTTTTGAAAAGTGAGATTTCATAATGCAGGGATACAAGTGTGATGATGCATTTCAAAATAATTTGGGGGAGGAGGGCAGAGAAGAACGAGAGTGAGCACTTGGTTCCTAAATGAGTAGTGCATGTTCCCACAATCTTAAACCTCTTACTGAGACAGAATACACGATGTTACACAGTTCTGCTGTGTATCTTTGTCTTTTGCAGTGCTGCTTCTGTGTAAACGTAATCGTCATTTCGATTTACTATGGTAGCAGTATTGCCGGCTGCCTGGCAATAACTGAGCAGGCTTCTCAGAGAGCCTGATTAACGTGACTTTCCCTTTGCAGGCTACACTTTGGCTCCTAGCGGCACGGTGGATAACTTTTCAGATTCTGGTCACAGCGAAATTTCTTCCAGATCTAGTATTGTCAGCAATTCCTCTTTTGACTCTATGCCAGTCTCCCTGCATGAGGAGAGGAGACAGAGACATTCTGTCAGCATCGTGGAGACAAATCTTGGTGTGGGAAGGATTGATAGAAGAATCATGATTGAACCAGATCAATACAGCTTAGGGTAGGAATTTTATTTGTGCTTACTTACATTATACTTTTCATATAGTGTGTATGTGGCATGTAAAAGTATATTTGTTCATGTAACTTTCCCAATATCTTGCTCAAATATTTTTCTCTCCCCTGCTCTTAAAAACCACTGTTTCAGTGCTGCGTTTTGTGATAATGCTCCATTTTCTGACAGGAAAAGGTTTTGCACTCCTGAATGTGTGATGAGGTCTAGAGCAGTAAGACTTTACCTCAGTAGACCTTATCATCTGAGCATTTAGTAGTGCTGTAGATTATCCTCTTCATGGCAGACTAGTATCCTAGCCTGTTTTCTAGATGGGGAATTAACTGAATTAGAGGAGAAATTATTCATACAATTATTCAGTGATCAAGCTGAGAACAGAAATAGCTAGTAATTTTACAGTCTGTTTCATAGGAAAGTGTGTATTTATCAAACTCAGAAATATTTTTCCCCAAATATCTCTCCTAGTCAACAATAATTGGAAACTAAAATTCACATGAGGCTGTTGGTTTTCTAGGTAATTAACTTCTGTAATGTAGGGAAGCTAGTGCTGCGAGGAGTTCTCTAAATCTCTAGCAGTGAGCCTTGGTCTGAAAATAATTGGAGCTCTGGCTCCTATTTAGTCTCCACTTACTTTTCTGAACTGTTATTTGGATGCTTCAGTCCTCCGAATGGTTTCAGGTTTTTTAATCCTGGGGAGTCTGTGGATGGCAGACCTGTTCCAAAACTGGTCTACTTCAGCCTTGGGAATCCCAGGCTATGCAAACTCTTTAATCAGATGTTTTAAATATTTGGAAGAGCAGAGTTCCAGTCTGCATAGCAAGCTGTCCTGCAGGGACAAATCCCAAGAGCCCCGATAGCTGCTAAACAAAAGTGACACTTTGTCGGTTTTCACTGTTGCTATATGTAAGTGATAGTGTCAGGCTTACTTAATCCCTGAAAGGCTACAGAGAACATACTTGCTCTATGAAGTAGCGTGTGTTCCCAAAATTAAAGTTAAAATAGATTTCTGTTTGCAAGAAATGTTGAAAAGTTGGCTTTGGGTTTCCTAAGCAGAAGAAAATCGGAAAAGCAGAAACCTAAACCTGAGTTTCAGCCACCTCCTGCAAAAACTCTAACTTTCGATCCTTTGCTTCGCATGGCTGGAAGAGCAGTAGAAACCTCTCTGTCAGTCTGTTCCCTTTTATTCTGTGTATGTCAGTGCAGTTTGCCTGTCTTAAAGGGCTGCCTGAAGTTAAGATTTTACCTTTTGAAATAATTCCACTGAAGTGTTAAGTTTTGTCAGGGTATCTATCCAGTAATTATTTTTTTGTTGTTGTTTTATTGAGGATGCGCTTGAAATGAGTATTCTCAAAATTGAATTACTCATTAATGCAAATAATACTAAATATAAATTGCATCTAAACCTTCCATGTGCTTGCTTTTCTCTTGACTGTTGAGTTCTTTGTGTGTCTTGTAAGTGATCTCTGATTCCAACTGTGGGTTCTTTTTTTTTTTTTCCTTTTTCCCCTCGTCAATGTGCACCTAGCTCCTATGCACCGCTGTCGGAGACCAGAGGCCTGTACGCTGGAGCAACTGTGCTTTCTTCTCCTAGCACAGAAGAACTGTCGCAGGATCAGGGGGACAGAGCTTCGCTTGATGCAGCTGACAGTGGCCGTGGTAGCTGGACTTCTTGTTCCAGTGGTTCTCATGACAACATACAAACAATCCAGCACCAGAGAAGCTGGGAGACTCTGCCTTTTGGACACGCTCATTTCGATAGTTCAGGCGATGGGGCAGGACTGTGGGCCTCGGGCAGTCATATGGACCAGCTGATGTTCCCTGATCATGGCACAAAGTATGGCAGGCAAAGTCAAGGTAGGGAGGGTCTTGATCAAGCACAGTCCAGAGCAAGCTGGGCGTCCTCAACAGGCTACTGGGGAGAGGACTCGGAAGGGGATACAGGTACCATAAAGCGGAGGGGTGGGAAGGATGTTTCCATTGAAGCTGAAACCAGTAGCATAACGTCTGTACCAGCAGAGGAGTCAAAGCCAGCTCCCATGCCCACGCACATAGCAGTATCATCAAGCAGTACAAAGGGGCTTATTGGTAAGTTAAGTTTTGTTTACCGTGAAATATTTTATGGTCCTTTGCATTGTTCTAAAACTGCATTTCTTTTGTCTGGTTTTTTGTTTTGTTTTGTTTTTTAATTTTTAAAGCAAAACTGGACACTTTGCAGTCTCTCTCAAATTCTCCCCTTTGTGCATTTATTGCTAGGGAAAACATCACTTATTGTTGATTCTCATTTCTGGCAGCGCCTTAGTGTTTCAAGAGAGCCTGCCATACATCAAAAAAACTAGCTCAACTGCTGGGCAGTGTTTTGAGAGGTTGATGTATTTAGGTGTCGGTTCTGAAATGTGAATTTCTCTTCACAGTAAGGCTCCACATTCTATATTTGGATATCTTAATAAGTGTGGCCTGATTTTTTTTTCTTTTAGAAGCCTTTTACTTTATACATCTGTATGACTTGTCTGATAATTGTGAATATTCCTTACTTCTGAAAATGGGATCGCTGTGTGCTTAAATACCAAGATGTTTCTTTGGACTGCTGAAACTGAAGAGGTTCCTAAGAAATTAGAGCTGAAATACATTTATAATCATTCAACAAAAGAAAGATTAGATAATATATAAATTAATGCGGAGGTGTCTTTGGCAGTGCTTAACATTTGGCAGTGCTTAACATTTTTCTTGTCCTGTTCCTTCTACGCATCCCAGTCCTTGGGCCATCCAAGACCTCTGCATTTTTACCTCTCATTGCTTTCATTCCCCTTCACTTTGCCTTTCTTCAGGTTAATATGAAGAACTATTTAAAAGCCATTTTGTGCTGACACAGCTGAAAAAGCCTGCCAGATTGAGGTCATGCTGAGACCACTGTGATAAACTGCTTTTCCATTTTCTGCCCAAGCGTATTGCTTAGCAATGGCCCATTGCCTCAAAGCTTGGGTGCAGATCCGAATCTCTGAACTATGAAGAGGAGGAAGCCATTCAGTTCAGGACTCCAGGTTCTGATTCGTGCTGCTCTCTAATTTTACTCTTTGATGCCCTTGGTTTCCACCAGAATGTGGAACAAGCATGTCCAAACTTGCCTCTCAAGGCAGTGCTTTCCACTATGTTTTTAGAGACTTGAGAGAACGTGAAAGAGATCTGAAATGTCAAGCCACATGCTGCTACACACTTCAGTACTATTATTACCTAGTTATCCTGCAAATGTAACTCTGCATATCGCTGCCCAACAGAAGCCACTATTTTTGCATGGTTCTTTTGCACTGAATAGACATGGATGTCTGGCAGTATTTCAATAGATTTTTTTATTTTTTTTTACAGAATTTCTTCTGTCTCAAAGTTACTTTTCAGAAATCTTTGAATAAAATTTCTCAGAAACTTCTTCACGCTGCTTTGCTCAGTTAAAACAATTTGCCCAAGAAAAATACTCAGATTCTGTTGGAAGCTATTTGGTTTTGTTATAATACCAAGACTTTAATCTATAAAAACTCACATCCAAGTAGCACCGGTCCATTTTAAGCTTGTACTGCCCTTTCAGTCAATTCCATGCTGCATAATGCAGGGTGATGTTGTCATCACCACTTGTGCAAGAATATACAGTGTATGTCAAGCTGCGGAGAGTAAATTGTCTGTCAGTGGTTTTTCCTGCTGTGCTTGCCTTTGTACTGTAAGTTAAGAGCTCGTGTATTAAAGGGCTAGACCCGTGAAAAGTGTTCAGTGTCAAAGCCCCAGCTGACTTCTTTAGGTACATAACTCCAAAACAGTCTCACGCCTATCTGCTGTGTGTCCCTACAGATGCTTAAAGTTCTTAAGTACTGTTTCCTCCCGTGAAGTTCTCCGCAAGAGAGAACTACTAAATATGCCCAAAGTCTTGTTCAGGTCAACAGTTGTGCCTCAAATGAGATCCACAAACTAGGTGGTGGTCTTTCCATCTCCTGTATAAAATCATATGCAATGATTGTTCTTATGGGCATGCTTTCAAGTTTTAATTGTGCAGATGATACAACCGTAAGAGCAGCAGACACAGTACAGCATATAGAAAATATGAAGATGAAGCTCCACTTCTCTTCCTTAACTTTTGGAATTGTAGCTTATGTTTCATTAAGTAGTAAGATTTGTAGGAAGAAATAATATATCAGGTGCTTCCCCTCCCCCCCCCCCCTTCCTTCCCTGCAAGATGCTAAAATCAAAAGAGATGAGCTCTTAGGTACAAAGCCCATCTTCAGGATTAAGATAGTCGTACGTTTGGGGAGATGCCAATATTCCTGATGGTTGCCACTTCTGTGGACTCTTGAGTCTTTCACATTACTTTGATCATTGTACATTTTATGCTATGCAATTGATGGGACAGCTTCAGTTGCTAAGTTTGAACAAATTCCCTATGAAATTTGGTGAATTTTATTAGAATAATGCTTCACTACTGGAAGAATAGCTATATCCTGTGTACGTTGTATATTCTATACTTTCTTGCATGGTTTATTTTTAAAGACCTCATTGTCTACTGTATGGTTCAGATTTTCTCTTCCTGGGATGTTGAATTGGTTGATGTTTATTTAACTTTCACTGTTTATTTTCCTTTGAACAGTTTTGCTCTTACTATCTCTTATAATAATCTGTTGTTTTTCCTGCAGCGCGAAAAGAGGGTCGATATCGGGAACCACCTCCAACTCCTCCTGGTTATGTAGGAATACCTATTGCTGAGTTTGCAGAAGGTGGTTCCCATCCAACCAGAAAGCCTCCGGATTACAACATAGCACTTCAGAGGTCTAGAATGGTGGCACGAACATGTGAGACCCATGGGACATCAACTCCGCAGCAGCAGTCGCATGGCCATTCCACTAGCAGGCCTGTGAACAAACCTCAGTGGCATAAACCAAATGAGTCAGATCCACGTCTTGCTCACTATCCGCCTCAAGGGTTTTCCACAGAGGAAGATGGTAAATTTCTAATTGTTAGATTTTGAGTGTGCTGCATGCAAAAATGGTCAATGCTTTCACAGACACAAAGCAAATTACGCAAATGTGTTCTGCCATAGAAATTCTTGCCATACTTTGAGCTCTCTTCCATCTTTCATAACTTACTATTTGTTAACTTTTTGGAAGGGGAGGAATTCAGTTCATCCTAAATGCAATTTAAAATTTGGAATGTAGGTCCACCTGAACCTTAGACAACCAAGCAGTTGGCTTAGTCATTTTTTCTGCAATACAGAGATCAGGTACAGCCCTGCCTGCCCTGAAAGTTCCCAGCGTACCTAATGTTTCTCACTAACCATGTATTAAATGGTCAAAAAAGTCTCCTGGCCTCTATAGAGTACCTGCCCATCCGCCCCATAGGGCATCGTTAGTCAGGTTTATTTGCGTAGTCGCTCACATTCTACCTGAATCTCTTACGCTGTAGACACTGGGTCTTCCGCACCAACTGCTTCACGGAATGAGCCCACTACTCTTTTGCTGCCTGGCTTGCCCAAGTGTGTCTGTATCTTTATGTTTTAGCTCAGCTACAATGATAGCTGGTTTTCTATGGAGTGCAAGCGTAGCTGGATTGCATCTTTAGGGCTAGGTGCTCAAAATTTAGGCAGGGCAGTGCCCAAATCACATGTTGGAAGGCTTTGTTTTGCTTGATGATAGAAAGGCTAACTTTCCCCTTCTTTCCCTAGCTGCTTAGTTACAAATGTTTTATGTGCAAGATGAACTCTGCAGTTGAACATGATGGAAAAAAAAAATGAAGTCTACCTTAATCAAATTGCCTCAAACTTTGAGAATTAATATGACGGAGAATTTTAATTGTTTCTACCAATGATGACTACAGTGGCATTCAATTTTTATGCAATCTTAATTTGAATAAATCACAGGGAAAAATGTAAGATGTCTTTATGAAGCTATTGAACATCTAGGAATAGCGGTTGTGTTCCTCAGGCTGAGGAACTGCACCTAGCTCAGTTATAGCAATTGTCTTATTTTCTTTGAGACAAAATTACAAAGGAATTCTTTGTCATGAGACCTGAAATGTACAGATATTTAGATTGTTTAAAAATATATACCTAATACAACGAAATGGAAAACACATGAGCACAGTACAGGTTATTTCATTCAGTAGCAGTCTTGTTCTATATGAACTAAATTCTATTTTCCCTTATCCTGTTGTGTTTGCAGAAGATGAACAAGTCTCTGCTGTCTAAGACTTGGGGCTTTTCTGGATCCAGAGTGAGCCACCTTAAAGGAGAGCACAAGAAGACGTCCCTAGAATAGGAGCCTTGGAACTATAGTTAAAGGATGGTGGACCTATTTGCCTCCTTCCCTGCCTTAAAGCAGCATGGGGCTTCTTCCTCCGCCCCTCCCCCTTCTGTCCCCTCTCCCCTTGCATGTGAAATACTGTGAAGAAATCGCCCTGGCACTTTTCAAACTGTGTTGCTTGAAATGCACAGTGCAGCAATCTCCAAGCTACCACTGTCGCTGTCTGCCACATCACACAGTATCATTCCAAATTCCAAGATCATCACATCAGGATGATTAACTCTGGCTGCACTTCCCAATGCCTGGAAGGGTTTTTTTTAAATCTTCCTTTTAGATTTTAATCGCAATCCTAGCACTTAGTCTCATTGGGATAATGAGATAAGCTAGTTGTCAAATTACATTTGGCCTTTAACCTACAAAGAGAAAAATGCATTGAAATCCTTCAAGGAGGCAGTGCTTATTTGCTTGTTTACAATGCCTTTGTTACAGTTTTCTGTGTTTGCATTTCAGAGATCAAATACCGCATCTGCATAGTAATTACAGTATTGTTTCATACCTGTGAGTAGGGTTGCCAGCCTGAGCTCCTGGAAAGAATATTGCTATGGCATGGCTGAGCAGGGCAGAAGGGAAGGCAGAGGTTACGGGATGCAGCCTTTCCTTGACCGTCTGGCTTCACTCTTAACATGCCCCACCCCGGAATCTTCAAATTTTTGTAAATGTTAGCGTTAATGGCATCCTCAGCCGGGTCTAGTGTGAATGCAGAAACGTGTGCTTGCAACTGGCCGGTGATGGAAGAGGACACTGCGTCTCTCTTACCTGTGCCTTGCGGAATACAGGATGGCACATGAGAAATGAAAGTGTCCCTTTCTAATGAGACAGACGGCAACCCCACCTTTAAGTTATATATTATT